TTATAAAGATGACGAAGATATTAATGTCTGATTTATAAAATGAAATTCTAGTCTTTCCATGTTCTATAACTGTGAATGAGGAGCATCCCCTGGTACTGCAACAGTAAAAGTAATAACAAATAATTCAAGATAAGTTATTGCTTAGTTTGCATACTCACCAAACATAGTCATTTCAATGTGGTAAAATTCTGTCAACATTCACAAATGCTTCTGAATAATGAATACTTAATATTATAAAGCTAAATGAGGAAATATGATATAAAAGCATACAGAAGAAGAGCAATATGATATTTTCAAAATCAAATTAGTCCCACATCAAAAACCACAGTGAAATATATTAAAAGTTATAAAACAAATATGCATCGTGATGTTAGTTATTTGAAGCTGGGTACTTCATATACAAATTGGTTATACAGCAATGCAAGGGTTGAAAGATGGTTACAAAAATCATAGAAACAGAGAAATGAATAAAAAATATGAAATGATTTTTCTTCTAAATATTAATAACATCAAATATATTTTAAGAGTAAATATAATGCTAGTTGTGGTGTGACATCGCAGATAAAATTTTAAATATATAATCTTTGTTACTGTTAATTGTAGTGGAATCAAGCATATCTAGTTACTGATATAAGTCATTTTGAGAAAAATCTGTTTTAATTTTTTTAATAAATTATTTTAAGATCTTCACTTTCACTAATACAATCGAGTTTAGGCATTTTTACAATAATTATATACCTGACAGTTGTATTTATAATACCTTGGCCTTCTGGCAACATGAGAAACCTGGATAATCAAACAATATATGTTCATTTGAAATGGTCAAATGGACATTCACTTTGCAAATATGCTGTAGAGTTTATGAATGCAGGAACAGCAAATATGCTCATATCACAAGATAAGACATAAACTTTGGTTCTTTTCAAAGCTTACAATCCAAACCCAATCTAAACAGGTCTTATGGTACATCACAGTTGATACAGTGAGATAGAAAACAACAACAGCAACAGCAAAAAACCAAACAAAAAACCTCATGGGAACCACATCAGATAGCATAACATCAGATTTAAATTTCAGGAACATTTCTGTGCCTGTCATTGTATGAATAGTGAAAGCTACAAAATAAAATCTGATCATTTACCACTGTGACCACAAATTACATTAAAAGTCTTGAAAACCCTTAAATACAAAGATACATGGACTTCATTTTCTTACAGACCCATTGCAGTGCATATGTCAAGGCATATTAAAGTGATATTGGAATGATGCCTTACTAGACAGAAAAGGATATGAATGACAGGAAACAAAAGAAAGTTGAGAGACAGAGAACATTCCATGTAATTTGTTGCTACAATTTTTTTAGTTATTTTCATACATTTCCTCTTCCTTTTCCACCCTCTACTTTGTCCACTACAAACCCTCCATGTCCTCCTCCACACCTACGTCTTCCAATGTGTGCCCACCAGTCCCCCACCTCACATACACACACTTAAGTCATAAAAATGGTAAATTCAAGATACAACAAGGAAAGTATTCTGTAAATACAATGTTTAAAAAGAAAGACAAGTCTCTGCCCTCACGGAGCTTACATGCTACTAGGAAAAGTTGACATTAAATATAAATATATAATCACCCATATAAATATTACCACTAAAATCATTGTTATAAAGGAAAATACAAGCATCCAAAGTACCAAAATGAATTTTTAACTTATGCTTATGAGCTATTAACCAGTCACAATGGCTGGATTTGCAGTGTAACTTACATTTTTGGCATTTTCTGATTTAAATGGTCATTCATTTCTCTCAGACAACTGTTAGAGTAAAATATAAGTAAATAAAGTAATTATTGAAATGAAGTGACCAGTTAACCATGGGAAAACAAAAACAAAAAAAATAACTAAATTCCCAGGTAAATAGACAAACCTGAATTCTAAATACAATGGAGAATAAAGTTAGTATTGTCAATGGTCCTAATGATACCAATGACAAATTTCAAGCCTAAAAAAGAAAGCAAACACAATTTCACAAAAACCACTTGAATCTATCTAGCAATGAACAGCAGAAGTAAGGTTGGTTCTGGATAATACCTATCCCTAGGTATCCCAAAGAAAGCTATGATTCATTGAAAAAAAAGTTTACTCCTAACTATCCAGGTAAAGGTGACATGTCCTTCTTCAGAAAACATGAAAACAAATCCAAATAATTAACTCTAAAGTGTGAAGCAGAATGACCAAATGAAGTTATGAGGCAAGATGGCATATGGGAAGAGTGAAAATGCTTCCCATTATGATTCTACCAGCATACAGCAATGATCTTTAGCATGTCTCCTTAACATGACTTAGTTGTTCTTGTCATGTACAAATTATAAGGTATTTTGCAGTTTCCAAACTCTGAAAAATCAATAATTAAGGAGTATGAAAAGATCCACACCACCTATGTAAGGACACATCACAAAATGATATCAGTGCTTACCTCCAGGAAGAAGACTGAGGAGGATGAAGAATGTTCTCTTTAGATAAGTTACTTTTTTCTTTTAAGGAATGACCTTCATCTATCATTGGGGATTTAAAATTTTAGAAAATATTTAAGAACTCAAATAGAAAAAAAAAATGATAATAATAACGTTCCTGAATCCAATTTTGCCTCTGGATTCAAAAAAAGGAAAGACTTTGATGCACAGATGTTTCATTCCAGAGTCCCTTAAATTCACTACTGGTAAAGAGGAAAGCAGTGTCAAAAAATTCTTCAGAATTATGTTGTATGGAAAGATTTAGGAAGTGTTAATTTACAATGCAAGTCAGTTATGTCAGACTAGAAAGGTTCAACAACTATTTCATGCACAACTAGGATTTAACTTGACATAGGAACCTACAATGTAAAACTTCTAAAATTTTTTGACTCCTTCAACATGTGGCACAGGACAAGGAGAGCTACGTCAGAGAGCCCCTGATTCATGCTATCTTTATGTTTTCTGAATGCCCACATTTTTTTCCACTCTCATGGTACTTGCATTCTGTCATTTATACTAACTTGTCCACATGTCTTCATTTCCCTACTACATTGACACACTTTGAATGTGGATGTCACGTCATAGTCAAGATTGTATTTTTGCTCAGAAGGCAGATTTGTTGACTTGATTTGCAATTAAAGGACTTACAAATCATGTTTCTCATTTATATATATCTAATTAACCAACATGTAAATGTTACCACTCTGATTTGCAAAATACTCAAATCCATCTGAAAATCTTCTTTCCCTATTTAACATCAAAAAGCATCCTGGTCCCATTAACAGAAGAAAAATGTAAATGAAAAACCAAATTCCTGTGCTCTGTAGTTTTGTGCTGATTAAGGAATACTACTTGATGAAAAATAGTGAAGTAGAAATATATTTGACCCATATATGTCAACAGAAAACACTTAAGACTGACATACTAAAACTAAATGAAGTGACACTTAACATTGATGACATCAAAACAAATATCAGCTGAATATAAATATGAATTATTCTATAGGTAGAGTTAAATGGTTATAGAATTATAAAATTATTTTTGAGTTAATTTTTTACACCATCATGTTTATATATATGTATATTTAGAATATTTATTACATGTGTATATACATTCATAGATACAAACACATATGCATATACTGCACTCAGTCAGTAAAATAAAGTATAAATACAGTTCCCTCTACGCCATCCTGAGTACTCTAATAAGGAACATGGTGTGGAATGCCCACTAAGAAAAGGAAGTAGATGGGAATTTGACCAAAAAACTTTAGAAAGTGTCCCAAATGGTACATAACATTTCTAAAACAATTGATACATACTGTCATTTGTATAGTTGCTGGAAGTCTTAAAATAAGATTAAATTATATTATTGGAAATGGTTGACCAAAACACAAACTACAATAGCATATGATCTCTTTACTGGCTCAAAATACCCAAGCAACATTTGTTTTGAAAGCTTTAATTTATACATTTAAAACTTTGCTATTATTTCTTACTTATTGCCTGGCTCATGTTCAGGTGCTTTTCAAGCAGAAAAGTTTCCCTGCTAGATGACACAATGTAAGGGTGAAGAACTGCGAGCTTCCGTCCCAATTCACCAGATTAACATTCAGAGCACAAGAAAACTCAGAGAATTTAAGGATAAGACAAATCCCTGCATTTAAAATAACAAAAAACAAAACCGACAAAAAACAAAAAAACTACAGACCAAGGGCACATTCACTAACACACAGTTCAAATGATTAGCTTAAAGGCTATGATACATATTTACCACAGCTACAGATCACCTACTTATATTTAATGGCAACACTAAACACACGGTCGATGGTTCCAAATGGCAAAGTAAGCATGCTTTTCAATCTGGCATCAGTGCTGTCAAGGAGCACACATGCCTGACTTACCAAGTGATGCAGAAATGTATACCTGCATGGTAACGTTCTTAAAACAAAGTTAGTATGTGCAAAAGAAAGAACAGGCTTGTCTTGTTTCCTTGGCTTTTTCACGGTACTACCTTTCCAGGTTCTTATGGAATTAATGTGTATATATGACATCTAGCAGGCAAAGAGGTGATGATCGCACAGCACTACACTTCAGTGCTGCACATGCTTACACTTACATCCCAATGCAAAATGGCTGGGGCAGGTGTGCTCCTGAGCTCAATGTTTGAAGATGACATATTTATGGTAACTACACTCACCATTTAACTACCATTAACTGATACTGCAAAAAATTACACTGAAATCTGAAGTTAATTTCTAAATATACTAATTATATAGGCAGCTGACATTATAAAACACTCTAAAGAGCAAAAAAAAAAAAAAGGGCAACATTTTGATGGAGTTTTCTTACCTTAAATTCACAAAATATTAACACTCATACCTACCTCCCAGTGCCCACTAATACAAAAAGATCTAAATACATTTGCATAACTTACACACACTATAATTCATATAGATGATATTAAGAAGAAATAAAATAATGTAATACCTTTACTTTTACCTATGGATTTGATGAAATGGTTCCAAGAAGAAAGGGTTTCCATACAAAGAGAATAGAGAGAGAAACAACAGTAAGAATTATGAATATATGTAAATGTAGTACTCTTTGAAAATTAAACAAGACAAGAAAGCATAAAAAAGGGTCTGAAAATACATGGAGGTATAATCAATATTTGTTAATAAATCTGCCCTTTTTAAAAGGAAATACATGCAAGGAAACTGAAAAGTCCATGCTCACTTTTAAAAGATTACACAAAAAAGAAGATACACAATGACTATACTATAGGTAGAAAAAGTATTGATTCTGTGAAACACTATACTCAGCATTCTAAAAGCCAGAAGCCAAAGATGTCTGGATGCTCCCAAACTGCCATGCATGGGTGAAAAATGGACTCTTTCTGGTACAGTAGATTAAATTGAATATACTATTTCAGATATTAACTTCTGATGGTTCTCGGTTTTTCTTAACTATAGCTACCCTTAACTGCATATGCTTACAAATGTATGCAAAGTCTCAAGCACAAATTCTTATGTCTCATTTATTTGCAGATATTATAGTGCAAAGAATGAAGGAAAACAGAAGTCAAAGGAGCAAACCAAAATCAAACTAACAAATAAAGGGGAAAAAACATGAAAAAATGTGAACAAAAGTTATGTATTTAATTTGCAGCCAGATAATTTGCAAGCATTTGCCCATCCTTTGCAGTGATGGTTTAAAGCAGCTACAGAACAAGAAAACACTGAAAGCAGAGTGGAAAAGGAACAGAGCCCATACCTTGGTCGCCCATCATCAGGTGCGCCAGACCTTGAAGGGAAACAAGAGCACAGTCAGCAATAAACAAGGGAGCATGGGAAGTCGGGGTTGTCACGGTGACAAAAATGTTCAGTGACAGACATCTTGTTTCCTATGAGACATGTCTGTATCACAGAGGCAAATCAAAAAGCATTCTTTCAACCTCTGGTTGGAATGCTTTGGGGCAAAGAGTTAATAGTACTGTAATTTAAACACTGGCATATGCTGCCCTGTGTATTTCTTCAATGTATCAGTTGGCACAATGAAGAGCATGACTTAAAATCCAACCAATCATCCCTTAAATATTGCATCTGTCCTTCATGCCCTTTGATGATACTGCCACCACAGGGCTTGTTATAAAATTATATTTTTTTAAAACCCAAAGGAATATCTGAAACATGGGCTGGGTCTGATCTTTTTCCCCTCATCAAAAAATGAGAAGTTTTATAATTAAATTAAAAAAGTCCTTAGTCACACTGAAATGATAATGCAGAAATGTCTCCTTGTCTGACACATGTAGCAATTGACTAAGCTTGTTCAAATACAAAAATAGATTATTAAACATGCAGCTGTAAAGTCAGAATTTACTACAGAATGTTTTTAGGAAACAACGGATCAGCTTTAAATAGGCTCAAGAAATTTCCCATGGAGGACAAAATTATTTAGTCTTTCACCTAAACATTACCTAAATAGTGAACCATAAGTTGATATATATATATATATATATATATATATATATATATATATACACATATACATATATAATACATATTAAGTTTTATGTTTTTATATAAATACTAATTTCATCAGGGAAGTTTTCTAAAATAATACTGAATTCCCTTTATTTAAATACTTATTATCTGTTACTTGACAACTGACTTCAGATTGAAGTTCACTCCTCTACTAAATACTGCTAATGTTCTTAAAACAAACAAACAAACAAAAAACAACAACAACAAAAACTCTTTCACTATCCAAGAAGGTATTTTTTACTGAGAAGCATTAATTCCTAGTTCTTCATTCCATATTCAGCAACAAAGCTTCTCCTCAATCCATGTCTATTTCAAGAACATGGGAAAATGTTACAGCAATATAGTAGTACATACAGCAATTTCAATAAAATTTATATTTCCTAGTATTATTTAAAATATATTTGAGACTTTATTGAGCTACATTATACATTACTTGCACCAATACTGAAATAATGTGCATTATTTCCTTAAAATTTTAGGAGTATTTAAACATTCCTGTGGGGCAGTACATTTACAAATCAACATATAGTCAAAATATAAAGACAATTTAACATAGAAGTTTAATGCTTCTGTAGTATAGCCTCTTTTTGTATTTTCAAAGTGATTTTAACAAAAACATCACACAGGGAGATTAAAAAGTTTATGATCTGTTGGTGATGATGTGTAGGTTATATAATTTTTCATGTAATTTCACTTTTAAAACTAGTACATGTATTTTCTAAAAAGAGTTAATAATTTTTTGTAGAGGAAATCAGGGATTTATCTCTCTATAAGATCTAACTTTAGAAAATATATAAGATGCTTCTAATGGTGGTTTTTAATATCTCCTCAGTAAGGATGGAAGTTAGTAAGCCTCAAAAACATCCACATTCCTCATGCTAGACTTTCTTACCTCTAAGGGATCCCCACTAGAGTGCCAAAGTCATGTTATAAATAGGAATGTTACAATTATGATTGAATAGTTTATAGGCTATACTCTGCAAATCTTGTCAAAATTTTTCATGGGATGCATGTGTGAGGAAAGAGGCATTCAAGCTTATTAGGCTGATTTTAAAGCCCCTGGAATGCAAGTGGATTTAAAAAGAAGGAACAGAAACATGGACTATTTTATAGAATGTTAAGGAAATGCAAAAAAAGTTGAAAAGATACTTAAAAAATCAATCTCAATTAACATGCATCATATAAATGACACTGATTTTGAAAGATGTCAGACCTTCAGGGTAATATCCTCCTTATCAAGGCATATTCACATGCTTTTAAAATTATAGTATAGAAAAACAGAAGCCATACAGAGAGCCAACACTTGGAAAAACACTCACTGATGATTACTTTTGAAGTGTTTCTCTATTTTATTCAAATAATGGAATAGAAATGTTCAGCAACTAAACAATTATATTGTTCAGAAAAGTTTCACAAATAATATGCTGAAACCTGCTCCTGACCAACTTAGCATCACCATGAATCGTTGAGACATCAAATCTTGGTGACTTTAACAGCTATTTATCTGTAACCTCAGATGGGAAGTCTTTTTCTAAGAAATCTGTCATTCTGTAAAAATGTTCATTATTCTTACAGAATGGCTCTATTTCAGAATATCGCAGCAAAATGAAATACGTTAAACACTTCTGAAATATATACGCTAGTTCAATGTGTCTGCAAGAACTGTTATGCTGTGATTATGTAAGTTGACAGAACATCACCATCCCTTACACAATTACCTAGTTAGCACTCTTATCCTTGAGAGATTTCTTAGGCAGTACACTGACATACATTTAAGTTCTTTAAAGAACAGAATGTTGAAATATGTTTTAGTTTGTTGGATTCGATAGGAAAAAAGTATAACTTTCTCAAAGTTCCTTGATAGAGATAATTTCAAAAAAAAAATCTTTAATGACTATGGTACTTTTATTTAACAAACACAGAATATCACAAACATACTTACCAGTAATCTCGTTCGAGTGTTGTATACTTTCATTTCCAATGGCCAGTGGTTTATTTTTTTAATCTAAGTTTATGCCTCTTACTTAGAGTCAATGCTTTATTCTCTGTTTTTATATAAATCAAATCATTTGAAATTAAACCAATGAGCTTGGGGTGATGAAATGCTAAACATTTCCAAAAGAAAATAAATCATTTTGATCAAGAAAAAAAAAATGGAGACCAGATCATGCACTGAACTCTGAAACTGCAAAGAAATACTTTCTCATTTAAAACAAAAGAAGCAGGATTGTATCATTTTTTCCATACAGAACACTGCAATAAGCATTCTAAGGTTTATATGGCATGCTGGAATCCATCAAGGGATGGAGTTAAGGCTGAAGGAGTTTCATATACTTAGGGACTGACGGGGCTGAGGGTATGTGTTCTATATGAAAAGTGATACACAATCCAGAAATCAACAAATGCTCAGAAATAAGTTCAACTTACCGTCTAAATTCGAGATGTACTCTATTAATACTATGAAATAAAAGGCAAATGAGAGTTGGAAAATAAAGTAGAAAGCACCCACCTTCCACATTGTTGTCTTCTGAAAGCACATGACAAGGAGGGAGAGAAAAGGAAAAACATTCATTAAGCAGCATGCAGACTGGACCTTTGCCTTTGCATGTCTTCCTCATGCAAGGCATCAAACACATCATGCAAGTGCTCCATCGCTACCGTTCAAAGGGGAAAACAAAATCATGGGAAGCAGGTTCCCTCCTATTGGCAGCATTTTAAGAATGTGAGACAAAATTTCGGTAAACTGTCATGTCCTGAGCAAGGAATTTTAAAAAGTCTTTCACTGTCCTGTGCTAAGCAAACATTCTTACATGTCACTGATGTGGTTGTTCTAGGCAATTATTTTTAAAGCCTTATTATTATTATTATTATTATTGTTATTGTTATTGTTATGGTTATTTTTTTACAATTCCAAAAGATTATATTCCTAAATCTGATCTGGACTTGGATAAAATAAAGCCCACTGCCAAGAGCCATGAAATTTCACTTAAAGACACCCCAGTTCTACATCCATGTACCATCATTGCCTTTAAGTATATCTAATACTTTTTTTTTCCATAAACACAAATAAACCTATGTAACTAAAATTTATAATTTGGTTTATTTACAGTGTGCTAATAGTTCGTTACAAATAATGGTAGATTACTGAATTTGTTAAAAAGTTATCTTTTAAATCCATTAACTAGAAGAAGTAATCACTGCAAGAGAAGTGATGTTGTTTTATCCATTTGGGGGCTGTCCACTAGGGAAAATTCATCATGGTTTATTCAGTTTGTACTTCTGTTTAGGGTATAAGTATGAAAATTGTTATTATAATGACAATATTTGCTAAACTTTCTTTTATATTTCCATATAATTGACATATTTACATATCCTCGTATATTTACATGTATTTCCATATGTGTGTATATATATATATATGTATATACAGATAGATACACATACACATATATGTGTACACAAGCAGATTTTGCATGTATTTCCTACACATAATCGATGCAAGTGTATGGGATTTGAACTATTTCCAGTAACTACTAAAAAATTCAAGTACACAGGGCTCAAAAATGATACACAGGGCTCAGCATACAGTAAGAAATGGAAGAGAAATCTGTCTTCCAGGAATAGGGCAACAGCCAGGTTTTAGTATTTATCACAATGCTTTCAATAATAAAATATATCCACGTTTACATTTCTAGTCTTATTCTTTTACTTAATTAAATAGAATCTTAAAAGTGGTTATTTGACCAAAAGTGTTTAGGAAGAACAAAACAACAGCAAGAGTAGGAACTGGGAGAAAAATAACTTATAAATGTACCATTTCATAAGGTTAAACAAATAACTCTTTTTAATTGTTAAAATTATTAATGGATTAAAAGTCATCAATTTTGTTTAAAATATATCAACTGGAAACTGAAATATCAACATAGGCACTTTTAGGGTCTTAACAAATATAACAGAAGAATGCTAGTGGATAAATGTGTACAAAGGCATCTATTTGCCAGAGTTTATTTTAAAATAAATAACAACAACAAAAAAAAGAATGAAATATTTGGTATGTGATATTCATTTCCTGATTGGTTTTGGTTTCTAATCTACTAAATAAGAAACTAGACTGAATTTGCTACTTTTCAATGGCAACTTTGACATGACATGGACACAAATATTAAAGATTTATTTTAGGGGAACCTGGGTGACTCAGTCAATTGAATGTCTGACTTCGGCTCAGGTCGTGATCTCACGGATTGTGAGTTCATGCCCCACATCCAGCTCACTGCTGTCATTCAGCATAGAGCCTGCTTTGGATGCTCTGTCCCCCTCTATCTGCCCTTACCAGACACACGATCTCCCCCAAATAAATAAATATTTAAATAAATAAATAAATAAATAAATAAATAAATAAATAAATAATTATTTTGCTATATTATATGAGATATAATACAAGATACAGATTATATTAATGTTTAAGTTATACTTTTGTTTTATATTAACTGTCCTCTGAAATTTTACTCCCCATTTAAGGTGTGTTTTTATTTTTTTAAGTAAGATTTTTTAGTATAGAGGGTAAAACAACAAAATCAGGGAATTTAGAGGAGAGGCAACTGCCAAAAAAATCCACCAATTACTATGGCACTACTTAATTTCTATAAATAGAGACTGGCATATGGTTTTAAGTAGCACAGTCTCAGGAAAAGGGTTTTGTTTTGTTCTTGGTAAAGTGCTGCATGAAAATCTAATAGTAAAAGGAAAATGAAAACCAAAGTAAAACAGGCCTAGGATTGACACCAAATTTATAAATTTTTTTTTCAACTTTTTTTTTTTATTTATTTTTGGGACAGAGAGAGACAGAGGACACCAAATTTATAAATGTGCTAAGTAAGATACTAGGAAAGGAAGCTGTGGTAATAAAATCAAGGTCATTGATTCAGATCCCCTGCAAGTGAGTTCTTTCCCTTCACCGTTAACTAAAACACAGGGCCACGGATGGCGCCATTGATCTTGACCTGCCATCCAGCATGTTTCTGAGTTTTTATTCATAAAGAGAACCAGCTTAACTAATGGGACCCCCACTATGCAAATCTAAGGCATGTCCAACGTGTAAACAAATCCTAACTTGACCAAATTCAGAAAAATGGTCTGTCTCAAAAGACTCAGGTTAAAAAAAAAAAAAAAAAAAAAAAAAAAAAAAAAAAAAAAAAAAAAAAAAAAAAAAAAAAAAAAAAAAAAAAAAAAAAAAAAATCAAAGTACTAGAGTAAATGAAGAGATAATATATTAACTCCTATATTTAAAAAAATAGAATAAGAAGAAAAGGAAGAAAAGTGGCTTGGAACAAACTTCACTGAATTTCAGACTCAATCACATAATTAAAAAAAATGCTCTCTTTATTTGTATCATTCTATTCTACCCTTTTGGTATCTATTTTTTGGCTTTAGTTGATTTAAACTCTGGTAACCTACCGATGATCCCTACATTACTTCAGAATCTGGACATAATTGTAAATGGTGGCAGCTCTCCCATTTACAATCATTTGCCAGATGTTTTTCCTTTTCTCTTTCCCTTCGACTTGGTTTTTGGACTGCAAGAATATCAAGTTTAAAAAGAACAGTTTTCCTCATCACATCAACTCTTGCTTTCTCTTTGTAGATTCTTTTGCAATCAAATAGTATTTTGATTTTTAACAGCAACAGAGACAGGGGCAAAAATTGGCAAGCCACAGCATAAAGTTAAAGAAGTACATTTTGCTTTAGTGTTAAGGTAGAAAGCAGTCCATCCAGCCTTACCTGTGGACATTGTCAAGTTAGGGCAAAGCTCTTGGCTTGCAGAATACCCTGGCTTCTTAATTCTGCTCACCTAATAGTGCTGTGTACATGAAGTGAGTCTTAGTAATCAACTTTACTATGATGACCATGCCACCTCTAAAGATCACACTGATTTTTTTCTTTTGATTGTGAAAATAAGGAATAAAATCATGAACAAGATACCTTACATTTTCTTTTTCTTTCAGATAAGATATGCTTCCCTCACAAAAATGGGAATAGGCACCAGAACATCAGTTATGTTATGAATAATTTGTGTGCTGTTGACATGACGAGAAGCTGCAGACTGTTAAACTGTATGTTTTTGAATTACTTCAAAAGAGCATCTCCAGGAAAAAAATTTTCCTTTGGCCTCCCAGCTTATAAGAATCCAAGGACAGGAAGTTTAACTTATCATGAGGTTTTTTTTGCACATAATTTTACATACTTCTAGGAAAAGAAAAATGAGCAAGAAAACAAATGTATTTGTTTCAATGTAAAGAAAATCAGGAATTTAATGATGACCAGGAGATAAAATTGATATAAAATATCACCAGTAACTCCCTTTTGTACAATCAGTATTTAAGGTTAGCAATATGAAAGCTTCATCTAAATCTACAAGCAAGAGTCCACTTATTTGCTACATTTTAAGTTTAAAATTGGCTGAAAGAAATCTGTCACCACTTGGGCATTCCTTCTCTGTTTTGGCTTCCTTCCTTCTCTGCTAGTTGCCAACGACCAGCTCCCTTTATTTTCTGTGGCTCCTTCTCTCCTTCATCAAAACTCCCTTTACTGCAGGTTAACTTGCCATCCAGATCTAGCCATCCAAATGGGGTATATAGTAAAAAAGCGGTGGTGGTAATGGCAAGAAAGAGGAATACAGAAAAGGTTTCCATTTCCTTCTTACATACATTGAGGTTGCTAGCTTCTATACTCGCCTTTCTGGCCCCTTGCAATATATTCAAGACTTTATCTCTCATCTTGGGGATTAAATGCCAGTATAGCAGAGTTTGGTTCCCATGGTGGCACAGGATGGAGCTTTGCTTTATTTTATTTTTCTTTTGGTTTTAACAGTGAAAGCCTTTAGAAAACCTCAATCTTCTGGGAATGTTTCAAAAACTGGGAAACGGAGGAAAGCATTGAAACTGTGGGTTTGTGCAGCAGTCAGCTGGAGGAAGAGAAATGCTGGCCAGAATCAAGAGAAAGTTCAAACAACAAATGAAGCAAAAAAGGTCCATTATGGAGGCTTATGGAAGGAAAGGAACAGCCACAGCCTGGGCAGGGATCTGGCTAGTTTCCAAAATGCTTTTTTTAACAGGTGGCCTCAGCAAGTTATTTTAACCTACATGACACTCCCACCAAGCCCGCTGGAATCACAGTCTTAGAGCATGAGGGGAGCCAAGTAGAATAACTAATATTTCTTCTCTCTTCACTGATTATGAGTAAAAGAAGTAACTCTAAACCAATTTGCAGCAGCAAGGACATTCCTAACATCCCACTTGAACCCTATAAAAACATTTTCCCTATGAACATTGTGAGCAACATACAAGTTTACTTTTGGTACAGTATACTATGATTCAAGTATATTATGGTGTTAATGAGTCCTTTGTGAAGTGGTCTGACAAGTTTACTTTGCCTGATAGTGTTGTTCCCCTTGGAAACTGTGATATGAGTTGCAACATTTCAAAGAACTTTTGCAATAGTACTTTTCTAAGTTGCAGACTGCCTTTGTTT